ATTTTGACGAAGGATCAATGAACGAAAAGGAAAAGAATTCCACAACTGGTCAAATACTGTTTTTTTGATAAAATTTACGTTAGCTATTTGCTCAACGTTACCGTCTTTCCAAAATCTTTCCATTGTCGCCGCTATCAATAATATCATTGCTATCATGAATATTACTATCAGTATTGTCTTCGTCAACATCACTGTCATCATCATTATCTTTATCAGCATCATCGTTATCAATAACAATAATATATTCATGTTCTTCTACATAACTATAGCGACAATATCCCTCCCCATCACTTGCCGCATTTTGCGTTTTCCTTCGTATAAAGTAAAACTCAAAATTCATTATTATTGCCGTTACTTGTGCGTTCCATTCCAACACCTCACCTTATTTAAAAAAAAATATATACCTCAAAAATTCGAATGTTTGTATATATCCGATGGTAATACAGATAATGTACCAATGATTTATATAGTTTAAATTGATCAACATGCGCAATATATTTTCATCAATTCCGCATTTTATGAAATGCCGGGACTTGAAAAATAATGCTTATGTTCACCGACTGTCACTTGATACTCCGTTCCACCAACCAACTGCCAAAAAATGTCATAAAAGTTCGCAAGAGAAGAATGCAAGATAGTGGTAATTCCGTTGAGGAATACTATTATACAGCGTCTGTTTCGATCTAAATAACCAGTGAACTGATGGCGATCCACAGAAATCCATGAGCTACTTTACTCATCCCTTTCTCTTTAAAAACTTTTTTTAGATTCAAACACATTTGAAAAGACCCTCCGATAACTCAACCATTGTCATGTTGTTCTTTTAAAGTCTGAAAAGTAATTTTGCAGATGATGCTTTTCAAGTGAAGTTGGTGAAATGGGACGCACAAGTGTATATCGTGTGATATGTTTCATATTTTATGTTTCATAGTAATGATGTGTACGGAGATTCTTTTTATTTTACTGAAATAGAAGCATGTTTTGAGTTCTAACAAAGCCATATACAGCATCCGCTTACGTCACATCATCCTAGAACAATGGTTTTAACTATTAGAGAAATACAAATTATTACACTGTAAGCTCAAATAGTAAGTTAAAAAGGATAAATATATAAAAACTGCATAGTTCACCATGTAACAAGGACTATTTTTCCCTGCATTCTACAATCACCGATATTAATTACCAGTTAATTGCGGTAGATAATAATGTGGTGCGTCCATAATTAACAACAGATATATATGGAAATGATCAAAAAAACAAAAATCGATAAAAATCTAATTATATCTAGTAGAACACTGCATAATAATTCTGCAAAGTTCTCACCTATAAATTTGCAAAAAGCATATTGAAAAAATTGAATTATACTGCAACTATCTGGACATTGCAATCTAAGCCAACGTGAATTATGGGAAAAATGTCATTACAAATATTAGGCATTAAGCATATGTTAATATAAATCGCTGTTATTCGTGATTATTTTTTTTGTAACTATTGAAAAATATAATCAGTTTTCTCCATTACTGATAGATCAAAAAGTTAAGTCTAATATGCTACAAGCAGTCTAGAATCCAGTAGCAGATAATGTATGCTACATTCAATGATCAAACAACAACAAGAATTATAAAGCGATTCAAGAATTCTTAAAGATGAGAAACTAATTTTTCGTTATATGTCAAAGATTTGAAAAAACTGCTGATGCTGAATCATAAGAAATATGCAAATAATGCCTAATATCATTTGAAAGACAAAAATGACATTATAAAAAAAACCTCATCTCAAAAAAAACGTCTGCCACTTCATCAATTTCAAAAATAAATCCCGATATATTAAATAAGTTCAAATACATGCGTCGTTCCTTGACTATTCGCTGCTACAACAACGTTCGAATTCTCAAATATTTTTAGTGATTTATTATTTTCTCTATCAAAATCTGAACAGTTAAGTTCAATTATAAATGATATAATAAACTTTAATAAGAAAGACATACTTTTTTCCAACTGACAGCAGATACAAAATCAGAAGAAGAATCAGTTGATAGAAGCGCCGAACGAGCACTATCTGCGTGACCAAAATCATAACACATTAATGGGTCACATAAACCTTTATGATACAGATAGAGATGATTATTTTCTGACCCTGTAAGAGCTTTTTTATAGTTCAGTAAAATTAATTGCAGTTCGCAAAGTTTCACCAAATTTATGATCTCATTTCAAACTATTCGAAAAAATTATCATTTCAAATATAATTTTAATTAAAATATCTTACCACATACAATGTGTTTACCGTCGGTTGCCAAACCCACAAAATTTCTTTCATTTTGATGACCTTTCATGGTACGTATACATTTTCCGCTACTCACGTCCCACAACCGGAGATTACTATCAGTAGACCTGTATTTTATAATATCGAGATGTGAAAACTTGGAATTCAAAGTTCTCTTTTATGTAATAGACTAAACTAAAATTTAGGAATAAACAAAATGCATAAAATAATTCATCTTCATGGATAAAGTTTCTTCGAATACAATGATTGATTTATATGACTAAAAAATTAAAAATAAAACGTGAGACAAAAGCTAACGCTGATACGACTTCATTTTCTGTACAATACTTGACGTAAGACACTGCTTTTCGATGACCACGAAAAACATTAACTGGTTCTAACGGTCTTCGAATATCGTATAAGTGAATGCAGTGATCTACGATATATTAAAATTCTGTTATGTTTTCGATGCTGTTGAATTTATATTCAAAGTTTATAGCAACTGGAACTAACAGTCATTGTTGTAACAAAACCAATATGGAACAAACAAAAGTGCTCAAATGTTCACAATTCATGTGTGGCTTAAAAGTTAGCAAACGTTAAAAAAAGACAAAAGAAACATTACCAGCAGAGCCAAAAACTAGATAGTTCCGCTGTGTTGGACTGAAACAAACGCAACATACATTGACTTTAGCATCGATTGTTGCTACTGAACGATCCACTCCAATTGACCAAAGTTTCACCTATTACACATTAATAAAATCTTATTAGTTGCAAGAATATTGGAATTATTAAGATTAGCAAGACAATGACAAATAAATCACTGTTATTTACTGACATTTTTTATCACATCAAATAGCAGTCCCAAGAATAAAAAAAATGTTAAAAAATTTTAGTTCATAAAAATATAATGATCATCAAACTCACTCTGGCGTCATCAGATCCAGAAGCCATTAAGTGGGGATCAACGCTGTTGAAAACTACAGTCCAACATCGCTTCTCATGTTCATAAAAAGTAATATTTCAAGCTAACTTTATGAAGAATCAGATCAAAACTTCTTATCAAATGAATACAGTTCTATCCGTTTTGAATTAGAATTCTGACCGGAATGAATGCAGTTTTTATAATTTGGCTCCAGTAGTTTAAATTCCGTCAATTACATCAAAAAATAAGGAATATATCACCGAAAGACAGACTTGATAACGTCTAATTGATTTTGCAAGTGAAGTATCCCAAAGCTGTACTGTTCCATCGTAATCACTGCTTGCAAGAGTGCTTTTACAATATGGATTCCATGATACATTACTGTAAGCAGATTATAGTTCATTAAATTTCACTAAACACAAAGACGTAAAAGACGGTCAATGCAAGAAATTTGATATGCAAAACAAAAATAGAGGGAAATTGGAAAAATTTAGTAACCTGATTTTGGATGTACATTGCAATTGCGTAACAGGATAATGCAAAGTATCCGTATTTTCGATTACTGATTGGAATTCATATACTTTTATACGTTTAGCAACTCCCGCCAGGATGAAAAACTCACCATCTTTGTCGAACTCAATGCTGAAATAAATTTTCTTTCTCTGATTTTTAGTATAAGTACTCTCGCATAGTTCTGAACATATTCATACATAAATATGATTTTCACTTACAATAATACATTCTGTTCAAAGTTCTTTGAATATCTAAAAAATAAATATAAGATTTTCACGAATTATAGGGAATAATATGTCCTCTTATCTCTTCAATTTCTGTATGAACTATATTTAAATTAAAAATAACACTATGCTGTTTTAGTAACGGTATTTCCTTATAGTTATTGAATTGTCGACTTGATAACTATGTTAGGCTAGATAAAAATATATGAGACCAGACTGCTAATAATCCATATCAGCTATTTACAGATGGAAAATGCATTACCTTGAAACAATAGATAATGCAGCTGTTGCATCTGCTACATTGTAATTTAAGGATGCCAAACGTCGGAAACTACCATATTGTGACATACCATGTAGTACTTGTGAAAAATCATCAAGGGTCTCACAACGGGGGCTCAGTGAGTCGTCCGTAATACTCCTAGATTCTGTAAGAAATAAAAAATGCGAATATGTAAATATATGAAATTTACTTTTTTTGAAAGAAACTAAAGAGTATAGATGAGAACGATAATCAAAATTACTATTATGTCTAGGAATGAAAATAAATGAAAAACTCAAAAGAATGAAACTATAAAGATAATTATATTGTATATGGAAAGATGTGTTATATTAGAGCAAATTTATTTATGTCGGAACAATTAAGATAGAAAAAACAATTGTTGGTTAAACTATGCATATGAAAATGTTCTTTTTGGGGAGCTTAAAAGAACAAAATATTCCTATCCAATTCGGTTCTTAGAAAATTTTTAAATCCAAAGCATATTAAAAGATACGTTTTGCTACAATAGAATTACTATTTTTGTAAATTTTTCTATAACGGCACTGAAGTTTGATTTTCTCAGTAAGCACGGCGTCACTATCGCTTCGCTTTAAATGGATGTATATTATGGATCAATTTGAAATAACTATCAATAAATAATAGTGTAACGTTAAAATAGCCTGAGGCTGCTATTTATCGGACAATGCCTTAACTGCGTTGAGAGAAATGGTTCAAAGAATTCGGATCAGAAGAGAGCAATGGGAAATATCGAAAATTTATCAAATTGATTCTTCATTTTTTCCAAATTCTTTGACTAGCATTTCTCTATTTTTCCAAAAAGAATGAAATTTTCATATAAAAGAGAGGATCAAGCTAACCTGTGTTATTTAAACGTCTACTGAAGTAAGCTTGCTCTAAACCGGCCATGTGTTGCTGAAGCCGACTACGATACTTCCCTATTTCATCAGCATAGTCATCATCATCATCATCAAATCTCACTTTTTTCAAAGCTGATGAACATTGTACTACTTGTGAACCACTGGCGTCTGGTACCATTCGTTGTGAATGTGTGCCATTGTTGCCGCTCGGTTCGTCTTTCATCAGCGCCTGCACATGAATGATAATGAGTGAATAGAATACATTTCTATCACAATTCAAAAACATGCTGAGCTTCGACTATAAAATTGTACCACACAAACGAAACGATGCTTTTTAAGCAATTTCTGATCACACGCTTTTTTATGATGACATTTTGAATAGATACTATTACCTGAATGGATGCTTTATCATTCCGTAAAATGGATAACTCATTCTGAAGCTGTTTAAGCTTTTCTTCTCGTTGTGCAATCATTTCATCGATAAATTCGTTCAGCAGCATGTTTTTCCTCCGGATGACATTATTGCTGATCTGTTCGCGTCGTTTTTTTAGAAGGTCCATAAAATGATCCAGAAAAGGAGCATCCGCATTCAAAGCCAAATCAACCAATTTTTCGCTTGTTAACTCCAGCCCCTCATTTCTACTCTGCAAAATGCAGAAAAAATGTAAGGCAACGATGAAAGAAGGAATAATGAAGAAATAGTTCAAATAGTTTTACTAAAAAATGAATTAAACATATCATTTATAGATAAAGAAATAAAAAAAAAAAAACCGACACTGGCTGCTGCAAGACTACGCGCTGCCTTCATATTACGTCGAATTACATCCACAATACTAGCGGCCGTAAAATTAGGAAAAATGATAGGGCCTGACCTTGGATCCAAACCTCGACTACAAACGGGACATCGCAAAGAACGCTCCAAATGTGCACTAATACATTCGCGGCTGCAATATAATTGCACCGATTACACTGCGCCTCTTAAACAAAATGCTGCCAACTGTAGAATTCAGAGTATCTGTTGTTGGAAGCTTCCTCTCCCTGTATTCTAATATAGATAATTATGCACTGTTGGATTAAAAAAATATTATTGTATGAAAATCAATGAAATATACCAGAATGAATGACCACATAATGTTGAGTACGGCTCACGAAAAAGCTGGAAGCAAATCGGACTGAAACAGTAACATATAATATCCTAACTATTTACACTTCCCATTTTAACTTATTTCAACTTATGACATGAAGATGTACGAATAACAGCTGTTGCATGAATTTGACATTAACAGGGAATGTGTCAAATGACACAGAACGAAACTTGTATGAAGTTTTAAGATTTCCATTTCAAGAAAAAAGCAATCCATATCGCTGGAAAATTTAACTGACAAAAAATCCGATTTTTGCGATATCTTCGTTCCATTCTCTAATTAAACAGAAATAAAAAAGTAGAAGCGGAAGAGCAAGAAATTTTGATAAACGCACCAGTCATAAAGACTTTTTAAGGAAACAGACGATAATTGTTCATAGCCTGAGCTAGAAAGCACGGATGATTCAGGTAACAATGATGATGAGGTGCAATGCTCGAGCGGATCATTAGTATTCCCGTTAGGATCTTCCAGTGCTTCATCTTCAGAAATTGATTGCGCCATTGGACGTTTACGGATGTATCGACTCGCTGACATCACGGTAACACGCCACGCAACCTCACTTACACCCGTATGATACACTGTAATTTTGAAGACACGGAACAATATCACAAACTTTCGTACATCAATGAGTGAACGTGAAAAACTACAGCAAATCACGCACTATTAAATTATGCAACTACGTTAAATGGTCCCATTGAAAAATATAAGGATCAATATTAATTGAAATCATTCGAAATAATATGAAATTGCTCGAAATAATCCAACTTTACTTTAAAACACGCCCACACACGTTACTTTATTCATTGGGAATTCAGATACATAACTCTTGCAATTTCTTTCTTTCGGGATATGGTCTCTCGCATTCGCCTTTCCGGTATATACCGGGAAATGTCACAAATTTTTTCTTCATTACTTTAATAATACTTCCATTTCATAAACGTCTTCTCTTCTCTTTTTTACTTATACAGTAAACCTTTTCAGATACTAACCGTCTCTACAATATGTTAAAATTAGGACCATAGAATTCTTCACGTTGACATAGGAAGCGTAAAAATTATCACAATGCTTATCTCTTCATTGAGAATTCTTTTTGCTTATCTGGAAAATTTCATATTTTTGATTTCTATTAAAATTCTGTACGATCGAAAATCATTCAATGCCGAATAGGGAGCTTGTTTATTTATGTGCTCAGATTGAAAGCTAAGGAAATTTTGTCTGTATTTTAAAAGATTAACGCTACTAATATCATAAAAATTCAGATAACAAAGTAATTACAACTGTTTGAAAAAACAAATATCATAATTATTTAATTATGTCTATAAATTTCTGTAGTGAAAACATGCACAAATTATAAAAATGGATGAATAAGGAAAGTACAAAACTATAAATCAAACCTAACAGATCTGCGAATCAAGTAAACACAATGAGGGAAATGTAGGTACAGAAAAAGAACTGGCCATTTCAAACCATGTGAATTTTATAGTTAAGAGTTTTAATAATAGCGTAGCATTCCGCAACTAAATGAGACACTATTTCTGATTTTATATAATTCCCAACTATAAATGTCAGGATTTTCTGTAAAAGGACACTTCGTTGTACTATGTCGGATGGATGGCTCCATAAAAAGAATAAACGAGATAGACAAATTGCCAATGAATATGCTATTTGTTCACAGTAGAAAAAAATGACCAATTAATACATCACAACCACTGAATATGTTTTTATTTAAAATTGAAAAAAAAAAACATCTAATATTTCGGATAAGACGTATAACTAATTATTACAGAAAGTAAAAGATGAAAGCTTAAAACATGCAAAAATTAAACGATATGGTATATACATATATTATGACATAAAGTTACCGTTATAAGAAATATGCTATTAATCAGATATTAGATTAAGCGCTATAATATTCATTTCATCTGGACATCTCATAGAATGTGTTCAAATAAGAAATATATTTCTTAAAAATTCCAGGAATCCAACAAGACACCGCTAATGTATCTATCTGAATTTATGTGAAGCAAATATATAGGAGTTTGATGATAGCAAATTCACGGGATCCGAGAAAACCAGAGAGCTCATATAGCTTCGTTTGCATAAAATTACATGCTTTCAGCTATCTTCTTAAAAATCGTCTTTCGTAACCCTTATAAGCACATTCTCTAATAAATCTTATTGCAATACAAAATAAACTTTTGTTGAAATGTCCAAATTTCATAAAATTTTGCAGCCGAAATCAAAACCTATGATGAAATTTGCAGAATTACAAAAACCGGCTCAAAGAGATACTACGTGAAGTAAATAAGTAAGGATATTATTAAAAATCTTACAACGATGCCTAAATAAGAAATTAAATGGATGGTGAGCCAGCATTCTCGTAAGCTGTCCATGCATCATTCAATTCCGTAAATATAGCACGAGCTAACCTTTCGTTCTCTGTGCCAACCTGTTTATCCGGATGTATTACCAAGCAAGCTTTACGGTAATATTTTTTTATCTGCAAAGAAAGTAAAAAAAAATAAGCTGAAACTGAACACTTTTACTGATGACTCTAGTTAAATAGTTACTTTGTTCAACTCATCCATTTTAACTCAATTTCTTGAAGCTTAGGCGAAACCCACTGATCAAATAGTAATAAGGAGTATAAAATCAAGCTCAATACAGTTATAAATAATCTATTTATAACTTAGTCGAAAGCAATCAAATCCAAAGATCGAATGCCTAATTAAAGATTTATTACTATTATTTAACAAACTTCATTCCGAATATATTATTTTTCTTTACACCCCATATAAATCCGCATTTTTTTCGTAAACCACTTTACTTGTTGCGCGGTTAGCAAATCTCCAATACTTGGCTGAACCCAATTTTCGGCATCTGGCCACAAGATATTATTCATAGATCCTAGTAGGGCTCTGATGTTTCTTTCCTTTCCGTTTGTCCATTCTTTCACCTAAAAGAAAAAAACAGAGTCCAGAACATGTAGAAATATTCAATTTTTAGAGAATGAGTTGACTGATATTTTTTTAGATTAAAAACCTTCAATTAAAAAAAAAAACCTACTTTAACTGTAATAGGATCTAGTTCTTTAATTTCTTCTTGCCGCTTCATTTCGCCTAAAGATTTTATGGGTTTCGTAGACGTTTGAAATCCTTGAGAAGTGAGAAGATCATCAAACGCGTTTTCAAAATTTTTTTGCTTGCCACCTAAAAATTATTACCAGTTTGCTAATTATTAAAATTGACGAAAACATTTTTCCACTTACCCGGTGCTTAATTTTAATGAAATTTACCAATAAATGAATTTGGACCTGTCATGCTTCATTTTTCTAAATTTATTTAAACTCTCTGTTCTAGAACCTGTCATGCTTCAATTTATTTCTCCAAGAACTGTCTTAAAAACTAAACAAAAGCATGTAAACGAAGAATACGAAAAAATATGACTCATAAAAAGAAAAACAACTAAACAGAAATATTAAAGATAAATAAGCTGTAAATTATTACCCTTAGTGGAACTGAGAGTGTCAAAATGTGCTCGACTATAACTTGGTTGTTGCTGATTATTCGATATAGCTCTACTTCTCTCCGCTGAACTACCTAAAGAGATTAAAATCTTCGAGATTTTATCACAGAATTAGAGTGAAAGTTGAGAAAAGTAATATAAAAAAAAATCGATTCATACAAACTTATTTCAGCTACTTCAAACAAAAAGAGATTTACGGTTAATTTGATAACACACTTTTTAGTGGTGGAGTTGTATTATCCTTTGTGCAAACTAAAAATTCAGAAAATAGATCATTTTTCATTTCTGACGTAGAAGCCATGACATCTACATTGGAAAAAATCGGTGCACAAACGTTACGTTGCATTCCACTTTCAAAAAAATCATTGTCTAAAATAAACCAGCTTGAAATCTTGCTAAAAAGAAAAATTTTCTTCATAAATAACACAAAACCTACTAAAAATTAAAATATAAGGAAATTTTGAGAAACTATATGAGTCTTGGATATATAAAAATCACAATGAGAAAACTTTGCACAATAAGAAAAGAAAATGTACGAACCTCCAAAATGAACATTAAGATTGGACGAAATATCCTCTGATGTATAAGAACATACATTTCGCGGATTTTGTGAGGAAACACTTGTTAACGATAAGCTATCATCATTTACACCATTTACTAATTTCACACTGGACGAACACGAAATATGACAATCTAAAAACCGTTAACAATTACAGGATTTAATATATACAACATTTGCTTAATGAAATATACGATCAATAAGAAAGAAAAAACGTTTCGCTAGCCGTAAATACAAAAAAATTATGGGCCTGTTAATTAAGTGCATATCAGAAATGACTAAAGACTGAAAATTTTGGAAGACATACCTGTTCCTAATCCAAGTAGATCGGCATCTTTTTCAGTGGTTAAAATCTTCGATGCATTTTGCTCAACAAATTTAGGCTGTTCTTCACCATCGAATTTATGCCGGTCATCATTAACTTTCTCTTCACCAGTATTAATATGCATATCGCTTACACGTCCACGAAGATCAGCATCTTCTGTTTGCTTTAGTAACTGAAGCAAACAAAATTTTCTTGTCAAGTGAAATTTCCAAACAGCTGTTAGGAATTGGGATTAGAAATATTGGAAGTAACAATTTAATGAAATGAACAAAAATTATTGGGTCATAACTATTAAACAATAGATACAATTTAATTCTGCTAGAATTATATATGATATATATGAGTTCAAATATATATATGCCAATATATATTCCAAATGACAAGAAATTTTCATCCATGCAAATACCAATCTAAATAAGACTTCGAAAAAGTAGCGGACGGATTTTCATGCAATAATCTTACAAAAATTATGTTTATTTTTCCGATTTGTTAACTCCCCTCGTTTAAATATATGTACAGCATTCTTTTCATAGTTAACAATTATTTTCAAGCTTTATTCAAAAAATTTGAAGTTCGAAATTTATTAGTAATTCTGATATTATTGATATTTGAGAAACAGTTTGAATGACAAAAATAAAAAGATTTCTGCCAAAAGCAAGATTGGGTACAATAGAGTAAGGTTTGGGTTTTTAGAAATACGCTACGATATATAAAAAAGTAAAACTTTTATAAATTATAAAAACAAGCACATACCGATGAATTCAAATGAGTAGCATGTTCTGATGACTGTATGATGCTACACTGTTCAGAGTTACTGTGAAAGGGCTGCGTGACATTCTGAGAAGCATCCTGTAGATTGCTAGTATCATCTAGCCATTCCAAGGTAGAAAAGAAAGAATCTTGAGGATGCGAGGGAGTAGCTCGGTTAATCGATATCTCCCTTTCTTCATTTATCGCTTTATGTTGTTCCATGACGCATTTCTGCGGAGGAAGTGGTCTTTTCGGGGGTTTTTGATAATTTGACGACTTGCAGTGAAGGCCGAGATGTCGAACAATTGCATCTAAAAATAAAAAATAGAGGGACAAGGAAAATAAAAACCTCATAATTCTGCAGAATACTCAAAATTATAAAATTAGGCAAACAAATAAAAGTCAAAGATTTTAAATTTAAACTATACAAAAACATACCAAATTCGTCAGGTTCAGATACCAATAACATTTTTGAAATGGCTTTTGGCTCATAACTAAGAATCGCTGGTGGATCTCGCGCACTAAATCCTCTATCGTGTTCATCAATTTTCAACTGCAAGCCAACCCTTAAAATGAAAAAGTTTAAAGAGTAAAACACAAAAATTGTTGCTTAAGTTTGCTACTTCACATTTCCAGTACCTTCCTTTAACTTTGAAGTTTTCCTTTTATTTTTTAAAGAATAACTGAATCATTCAACCACAAAAATCTCAGCTTTACTCATAACATTTTCCTGAACGAAACAGTTCCGATCATGAAGACAAAATAATGCTTATGTGATTTATCACTCCTTAGAAAAATTATTCATATCTCTTCCATTTCTCCGGCTTTCGGAGGAATGAATATATTTTACCAAAAAGAACTGCCAACAAATCAGAACCCTAATTTATACTGATATACAATTTGTTCGATTGTCCTATAGGAAAAAATAAACCCATAAATGACAGCGTCCCAAATTGACTGCACAAACTTATTCCGCCTCTTCGTTTTCTACCATTGTTGAACTTTTTTTGCAACTGTCTACCAAATAACTGCTGCATTACTCACAGTGGTTCAAAATGTTGCATGTAAATGACTTTAACTGAAGTAATAAGCAAAAAATAGTACTAGTTTATTGATTTTCAGAAATTTTTCACTTCATGCATTTTTTGCGTTCATTTTATACACAGTTTCTCTTTTTGTATTAAGTAGGCAACCATTACTAACACGAGCTGCAATTCCAAAGTCTACAATGAGATAATTCTTGTCTTGTAGTACTTCATGAAATTTTATCTATCATCTTCTCCAGCTGCATAAAAGCTGCATAAAACGGTTTTTTTCTTCTGCGTTATTTCCACAGACAATCAAGAATGAATGCAGTGCCTTTCTACACATGTTCTATTTATTGTTGCTTTACCTCGTGAATCATTAACAAAAAATGAACTAAAGAAGAAAGAGGATCTACCTCTTACTGTTCAATGTAGTTAAAGGAAAGTAATAGCGTTGGATTCGTTACATAATAATATTAGCCTAAACCAAAAGTAGCCTAAGATTGACGTTCTGTGTTCTATAAAGCTTCAGCCTATATATCAGATAAGAAACAATCAAAGAGAAATTTTAACGATGGATGTATTAGTAAATTTTTTGAAAAGAAGTAATATTCCGAAATGCTTTACTTACCTTAATGATACTCCAAATCTCGAGTCATCAGATGAACGATCAAGGTCACCAAGACTGAATTCTAACATATGGGTATTCGGATCAATAAAATTAGCATGAAAACTCAGTGAAAACATCAAATGCTGCTGCATACGATTTTGCATTTTCATCAATCGTGCATGATAAACAACTACCTGAAAATTTATTATTGAACATAAAGATGAAATGAATCTCAAATCCGAAAGCTCATTTTTATTCTTTATTAACAAATGCTTTTAAGAATAGCCCAAAATGACTTTATTTCGCAAATTAATGCATTGCAAATCTGTTTTGATAAAAAAATTGTTTTCCTCAAAAATCTGTTTTCGCAAAAATCAAATTATATACCTCATTTATATGCAAAATCAAAGTGAAACTATTAAAAATTATTTCAATCACAAAAGTATTCTATGGCAACTCACCTGCACATCGTCACCAACTGGAATATCTCCCAATGGAAGATCGACTAAAAATGATTCCGGAGCTTCGAAGGACCTAGAAAATAGAATTCAGAACTCGAAAAGTAAATTGGAAAAAGGAGGTAGAAGCTCTTTTACTTCTTAATTATCCACCTCACTTGTCGGCAACTGCGATGATTAACATTATGTATTTACAAAATTAACAGAGCTGATATAACAATAAATTTAGATATAAAGATATTAAGACTTTTAATATACACAGGAAAATACAAAATTGAATAACAGAATCAAACGTATAAAGCAACTTTTCAGAAAATTCTCAAAATAAAGAATAAGTGGGACAATCTTACATAGTTTCGATGTTTGTTTATGGTGGTGCAACTAGAACATCACGAATTACCATATTTTGAACAGAATTCAAAATGTTAGTCATTTTTATTCTACATTTTGTAGATAATTGAATTGGCACATAAATTATGGCTAAGTTCTCATAGGTTTTCTTTCCTTCAGTATAATTGGATGTTGAAATCAAGAAAAAACTGAAGACATGGACGAAAATTAAGGATGGGAAAAAAATTGGAATTTGTTGGAGAAAGTATTAATGGCAGATATAAATTTTATTAACTATTACTTCAGTTCTTCATAGCTCTTGCAGGTAGACCAAACTTTCGTACCACCAGCGTAAACATCAGCAAATGGTCGACAACCACTTCGAACTCGATTAAACAGTGGTACCGGTGATATCAGTAATGACTGAAGCACTACTCGCCTATTGTGAACCATCTATAAATAATTTTTTCATGGAAAAAAATGGAGCTTGTTGAATTTTTTCCTTATTTTGTGTTGATTTTTTTTTTTTGACGCAACAAGTGATGCTGAAAATAATCGCTCAAATAGATGCCGTATGAACATACAATTATTCAGATTTTCAAACCTTACTTTAGTAGAAAGTTTTATAAGTATTCAGAAAAATTTACTGTATATAAATCAGATGATTCCGTAGAAACAACTGTTTTTATTACATCAAGCTGCCGATGGTAAGATGGTGGAAGATTTGGTGGTTGTCTTTTGGTACAGATTAATTCTAACGCTGCCAGTGGCCTTGGAACAAGTCGAGCATATAACAACAGAGTTGCTGCTATCAGTAAACATTGAACTAAAAAAATATTTTCGACCACGATAAATAAAACGTGCACAGACAAATGTGTTTTCTTTATGCACTGTTCACTATAAAGAAAAAGATGGTGCAAACGAATGCAAGATTTATCAAAAATATTTACCTTCAGGACCAGTAATCAGAATAAAATTTGTTTCTTTTTGTTTCAAGAATAAAACCATATTCCTGCACAGATTCAACAAAAAGTTAACTGTGGGTGTTAAACCACTTCCAACAGCTGGCAAAGGAGTTTCTATCAAATGCGCGTAATCGCACCGCAAATGCCTGGATTTCAAGTCGCGAAATAGTATTTAGGAAAAACGATGTTTTAAAATAGTATTTGAAAAATTTTTCTAATATTTAATAATTTTTTAATGAAATAGTATTTGAAAAATTTTTTAGACCAAACCCGTTTATCTATGAAAAAGAGAAAATCTGTACTGCATGCGATCAAAAAAGTCATATATAAATGTAGTATCATCAAAATCTTAAGTCTGTAGATTTACAACATGAAAATAATAATGAAAAGTTTCATAAATTTCATTAAACGAACAGTTATAAGCTCAAGTCATGAATGAGACACAGAAATTGTAAACCATAAGCATGTGACTATACTGCATTATAAAACTACTACAGCACACTTTATCCTATCACTAATTTAATAACAAAGAAAACTCACCGATTTGATAAGTTATAAATTGCAAACTGTCCTCGAGCCTGATCTAAAATATGAGCCCGCATTGTTTCTTCAGCTTGTGCAACTAGTGCTTCAGGTATACAATCAGCGAGTGGCGCTATTACAAGACGCGATGTAACAAATGTCACATCTGGACCTCGATTACCATATGTTGACTGAAAATTTCGAAATAAAGAAATAACGGATTGTCAAAACTCGTTAAATCACTTCGATTCCAATTTCCAAAAACAAAAAAAGCTAAAAAGAAGCTCCGCATTAAAACAAACTAAATAAAACAAAATAAAAATAGAATTTCTCTCTCAAATAATTTTTGAGGGTCCTTTAGTTAAATTTCCCAAACAAACAATAAAAGACGGATTAGCATACCTGTACTGTCTGTGCAACAGCAGCCGTTTTGTCCTTGATATTTTTGAACCAAGACATGCCTTGTCCTTTAATAGCACCAAAAACAGCGGAAGCTTGTTGAGCTGTCTGCTCCTAATGGTTCATCAGCATTAATCTTCGCAAATGATAAGACTAAGAGTCATTTAACAACGAAAGATTTACTTACATGTAATACAAAAGTAGATAAATTAGTGAGTGCTGAATGATAATAATGAAGTTAAGCCAATTTAAATTCCTAATGACTTTTTTGCATGTCTATACAACATACGTAATCATTCTTTCGCTGCACTGAAGGTGACCGTTTTGATGACTTTCCACGTTCATTTCCAGATAATTCAGCTTGTAACTGACCTGGAAAATAAATGTATCAAGTCGCGATTTCAAAAACAATAACTTGACCTCATAAATATTGTTTGTTACTGATAAATTTCAATGAATTGATTAAGACTTGCAAGCATAGAAATAATAAAAATTCTGAAAAAAAAAAACCTCTAAAAATTCTAAGAAACAAATTAAATGTGAAGATGAAAGTGAAAATTCAAAGAATTTAGAAAGCTGGACAAAATAAAATAAATTCATACACTCAAATAAATTCCCACATGTTTGATTATTAAAGATGAACTCTAACAAATCCTTGCTTTTTACCAGGAAGAACGATTACTTTATTATGTTATCAATTAATCATTCAAACGATTTTGTCCAATACGCTTCTTGAACACCATATATCAAAATAACTATTTTAAGACCATACATTTTAAGCTCATTCGATAAATGCAATACTACTTGACGGTATCTATTTTCTAACAACTGAATCTGTATTAAATTTTTAAACTACCGTTATTTCTTTTCTACCAAAACAACGTTTACTGGTTCGTTTTTGAATAAAAAGTCAATTTATTCGATGAAACAAAAAATGAATACCTGAAGGACAAAATGCTGATAACTGCGGTAGTTCCAGGCTTTCTACAGGTTTCGAAAGATCTATACCTGATGCTGCAGCAAGCGCTTCAACTCGCTCACATAAATCATTCGTATTTGGGCGCATTCTTGGATCTACTTGCAAAGTTGTTTCTAAAAAAATTAGGAAAAAAATCAAGAGGACAAGTATTGAAGTGGTATGAAGGATCTTCTTAATCAATTTTGAAAATGAGTGTGGATTTATTTAAAAGTACTTAACACAGCAGAAAAGGCTGTAGTACTTTGAAAATCTAACTGCAAAAGCTCTAGTAAGCTCCAATTTAGTCAAGTTTTCTGAATATAATCAAGAATCAAATGTTAAAATTTATTTTCCAAACAAATTATTACCGAATTCAGAGAAATATTTCAAAATCAAAAATATGTTCAATGTGATTTTAAACTTATCGCTATGCTAAATATAATTCGAAGTAATTTCGAAAAAAAAAAAAACATTTCCTACACCCAGAAGCGTATACGCTTTGAATAAAAATATAAAGAAAACTTTCAAGTTAATAAAAATTTAATAAAAATAAATTTAATTCAAGTTAATAAAAAATAAAACCAACGAATGAGTGGATTCAAGAGAGCATATTCAGTTTCCGCATCAGGGAGGGAATATTTCGCATTAATAATACGAAGTTTTGCACTATCCTCAAACGGATGTTTTCTGTAGCAAAGATAATACAGTACACATCCAAGAGCCTAAAATACAACTGCTCACAGCAACAGACCTAAAACAAGATTAAATTCAGGAGCCAGAAGCAAATATTATCTTTTTCCTAATATTCTATCAAAACATATAAGTTCACTTACCCAAACATCTTGAGCTGGACCCACCGGGAAATTTGAATACATATCTAGTAATTCTGGTGCTCTGTACATCGGTGTCGTGTGTCGCGCTAACTAAATGTTTCAAATTTTGAAATTTCAGAAATTTTAAATTTTGAAGCTCTTAAGCACTAAAGACAATATGTGAAAAACACTAAAAAGATCATATAAGATAAGTAGTTCAATAAAAACTTAAAAACACAACCTCCTCTTCAAGCTGTGCTCGCTGGAAAGCTGACCATGTTTCATCCGGTGTTACGACTTCTGTTGTTGCACTTCCAAAATCGCATAGTTTCACATACCCATATGCATCAAAAAGCAAATTTTCAATCTGAATTGGACAATTAATGTTTCCTATAACATGTAACATTCTGAATCAATATAAGCAACCTTAAACTGCTTATATTACGAAAATTGGCTATTTTTAGCTTCAAGTGTTTTTGTTGATATATACACTAAGCATATTCTTCTTTACGAATGAAAATAACCAACTCTTCCCTGCCTAACAATAAAACTGAAAAAGCAATAAAACATAATTTATTTTTGTCTCAGCATTATTATTTATTTATTAAGAAATTATTTTGCCAAAAGTGGAAAAACCAAGAAACGCAAAAGATCCTATCTTGAAACGCACTATACTAAAAATCCTTGCAAAAAAACCTTCATATCTCTATGTGTTATAGGTGGCTTTCTCGTATGCATTTGTTTAATGGCGTTACAAGCCGCATAAAAAATCTTCGTCACCTGTCCAACCGACAATGGACCCTTCTGAATAAGCTCAATAACACTTCCTGAAACAATTACCAATTAGTTCGGGTAATTAAGTTTGACATGATTGGTATTCGGAAAAATAAGAACCACTTAGAAAGCAAATTTTTCCTTCCCTCATTTTTTTCTCACTGTAAAACCGGGTAACAATTTACCTTCTCATCCATTCAAATATTTATTTTTAATCATAGCTAAAAGTTACGAAGCAGTGATACAGACTGGCTGCAAGCAAAATGCAACTTGAAATATTAAGCTTTATAATTTGGAAAAAAAGCCAGAAACAGATTAAACAAAGATTTGACCTGGACAAAGTTCAGTCAAGAGAAGAAATTCGGCTCGACCATGTCCACTCTCCTGTGGACTCAGTTGCGCAGCTTGCACAAAATGTAGAATGGATGGAAGACCAGTTAGCTGAAGTTAATATTTAAGTGACGTGTCGAAATTAAGCTTTATAATCTGGGAAATAAAGAACTAGCCATTTGACTGATCTTTATCAGACAAGAGAAGAAATTCGACTCAACCATGTCCACTCTCCTGTGGACTCAATTGCGCTGCCTGCACACAAGAAAAAAAAAAAGAATAATATGTATCAATCAACTGTATGACCAGTTTCATTAAATTTGTACTGCTTATCTGTGTGATTCCTACGCCAACAATATTATTTTTTGTTTACGTGAAAACAATTTCTTAGAATATAATGTATACAATGAAGCAATCGGATAAGAAATAAGACTTAGCACTTTGCAAATAACTTTCCATCAAACGATACTCCACTTATTGTTTTATTTTAATTTGAAAATTGAATTGAGCTTCAAAAACAGTCTATCTGAACTAACAGTACGCAATATAATTTATATATATAAATAGTTGTATATGTATAAACATATATATATGTATATACACATAAATAATTGGAAAAATGCTACCTCTCGTAAAAAACGAATTTCTTTTAACACAGCTTCAGCAGTCTCACCATCTGCTGCTAATAATCGTTTGAGAGCAAACCAATTACCGTGTGTGTCTTGAGCCGAAAATACTAATGCATAACCACCTAAATAAATAAGAAACGCATAAATAATCGAAATAAAAAGAGGAATTCCATCTTAACAACTAACACTGACCAGTTATTGGCATAAGTTACTTGGTATATAGCATAGCATTTCCTGGTAAGGTCAGCATCAACCATTTAACAGGGTCAAACACTCAATTTCTCACAACAATATCTAAATTATCTCTCATCAATTTATCCCATCCTCTCGAATGATTACCTCTCGTTTATAATACTTCATTTTCCTTACCCTACGCACTGCAAAACTTTTTTGGCTTGCCTCTTTCTAGAATCTTACATATTGAGTAAAATACACAAGCTGATCTCTTGCCATAACAAAACTTCAACAAAATTCAATATTAAATAATAAACCTTCAGCGATTAAAGAACGAATTTTCAGTCTCAATCCATCAATCTCAACATTTGTACCCACAAGTGGATGATCTAATTTACCAACAGCGTTCAGTGGTACCGTTTGCGATAAATAATTAAAAGCTGACCGGAATAATTCAGTCATCCTGCAAATAATCACTCATTTATCTTTCCGGTTTCTTTCTTTTTGCGCAAAGAATATTAGATTAATAAAAATGAGAGCAATAAGTAAACAAACGAAGAACAACGGAATCTATCTATCTTTTTAAGTTTTAAAATTCACCCGAGATTTCCTACTTTTTTAATCAATAATGCTCACCTTACAAACCACAATGAATCAATCAATCAATCAATCCCACCCGGTGAAAAATACATCATCATCATCTCATCCTGGCTACTGGAACCGAAACCCATTTGGTTTAGACCAATTATAATTATTGATCAGTGGGATGCTTCGGAAAGGCTATGACCTATTAATAATCATTAGCTCGGATGATTCATATCGCTGTGATAAAGATGGTGATGATTGGGAAGATTACTTGTTTGGTACTTTAATTTAACTCTGTCATCTCTTTCCATTCTTTTTTGCTATGAGTATTAAGGATTTTTCTTTTTCTGCATCTCTCAGGCTCTATTAAGATTGTTTACTCTTTCTAAGAATTTTTCGTATTCCTTCATTTTATGCTAATACATTCCGCTATAAATTTCACCATTCCCTAGCATCTCTCCAATTTCATTTCTGTTTTCTTTTCGGAAATTTGTTATGTATAAACTCTTACTAAATGCCTTTTCAATTTAAAGAAAAAAAATTGATTTTTTTTTCTTTTTGAAATGGTGGAATTACTTTTGATAAATAATTGTTATCTGTAAAAGTATATTTCATTTTTTTAGATGCTACGAAGACAACCAACCGAAATTGTACTGAAATTGGATGAGATTGATGAGATGATGATAGAAATCAAGAAACGCGCTGCCGGTGTAAATTTTTTTTGTATGATTAAATTTATATGAATTTTGATAATGAATAAAAAATAATTTATATTTACAGGAAAATGAGGAAGTAGAAAAAGTTTTGACGCAAAATGTTGTTCGATCACGTATTGGCGCGCCATCACCTCGAATTCGAATGATGCAAGCAACTGACACTCAACTTGCAGGTACTTCAGGTAGCACTGCCAATTTACCTTAAATTGGTAATCCATTCACTGCTTTTGATTTAGCATATATTGATGGATGACAATGGGTTTTTTTGTACACAATATTCGTTGATGTTTATTTTTTTTATTACTTATTATTTTTTTTCATAAATTTTTTTTATATTACTGGAAGAAGCGAAGGTTTGGATCTTCTTTCTATGATAGATCATTAGATGAAGTCATCTTAAAATATATTAAAAAGTTGAAATTTAGAAAATGTTCTGCAAGCATTCAATTACGTATCCAAAGTCTGCAAGAATGATTTGTCCTTATTGATTGTTGATATTATCATATTCTTGAATGTTTAAAAGATAATCATATATCTTTAAATTTAAGTTAGTTTTCTCGATTCATGCTATGATTGCTTTAAATTTTTGCTAAAGTTTCTAAATTTTGCAAAACCAGTTCTTCTGTTGGAGATTTCCACCTTAAGAACTTAATTTTTATGAATATACTAAATTTTCGAATTGCAATATAAAAGCACATCGTTAGCCATTTTTTTGATCATTCAGGGAAAAAGAATAATATAATTTCTATAAAAGAATTTCATTTCATTATCATATTATCAAGGCAAAGATAATTTCCACTGAGTGAACTGAAGTTGCTGACGACTGATTCTTTTATTTTCCTACAAATTATTATGTGCTATGTTTCAGAAACCTTCATTGTACTTAACTTCGTTTTTGCTACTTGTTTTATCGCACATTGAATTTCAAGTATTCATATTTCTGTTCAAGTTGCTGTAGAATCAGTCTCATTTTTTGAATTGTATGTGCAAAATTCCAATTATAGTTCTGTTATAAAACATTTTACTGACCTGTTACATAAAATTTCTATTTCTTTATTAGCAATCTATTAGCAATCATCATATTTTGGCATTTTCAACATATAACTTAAATGTAAATCAGATTGCTTATAAATCTTTTCGGAGAACAATATTGCACAATAATGGTATTTGTACTGTCCAATCCAAATCAATTTTAGATAAAATAAATTTATGAAATTTGTAAACCATTACATGACATTACTAGCGTTCATTCATGTTTTTTCTATAAGCCGATGTTTTCATTCAGCAGGCTAGCATTCAGCTTTCTAAAGAATTCGTGGGATTCAGTTTCCAAAGAAGTGTCATACATTGGATGTAAAGTCGTGAAGTATTTTATTTCTTTTAAACATTAAAATAAGCAGTTAATCAGATAATTGAGAAAATGAAAGACTGTTTTTGTTTAATATTTCCAGATTGCTTGAAAGTTGATTTTGTCGCTTCTGCTTGTTGAAACGACTAGGAGTTTGATTGACGACATCTTTAACTTTTCAGGTTTGCTGAGATTTATTCTTGAATATTAAGGATAAACTGCTCCAATGCAAGTTTTAGGCAATTACTAATGTTTGAATGTTGCTTTTGTTGCTGCTTATGTTGTCAGTTTCTATTTGTGGAAAGAGATATAATTGCAGCCAATTCATATTATGAATTGGAAAATTAAATTCATGGATGGTGTTAATGCTTGAAAGATTATATAAACATAGGGGTTAAGACACATTACCTTAAATGTGCTAGCTCATGCTAAAAGATTAACTGTTAGAAAAATCATGTTAAAGCAGAAAAAAGCTAAACTATAGAGAAATAAAGCTAAACTGAATTGTCAGGAGTGAGAGAATGGTAAATGAGAAATCGAGAGCGAAGTGAAACGGTTAATTGAGGAAGATTAATCTATATAGGTACAGGTAATAAGGAATTGATATTATCCTCCTTTGATAGCATTATTAAAAATGGTGAAAATGCCAACAAGTATAATAAAAGCAAAATGTGGCAAAAAAATAATTGCTTTTTTGAAACGATCGCCAATAATTTTTTTTTTTACCTTGTCATCGCTTTCCATCATAATTTTCTTGTTGTGATTTAAGTGTTGATGATTTAGAATGCGAATTTCAAGATTTATGATACTAAAATTCCCTGTAAAGTACTGATCACAAATCACATTCCTAATTTTAAATCACAATCTTTTGAAACGAATGTAACTGCAAAAGAAAAATGACAAGCTAGAAATAGGGAAGCATTAGCAGAATGTTTTGGCACCACTATTTATCAGGGACATAGCACCCCGCCTAGATTTCAGTTAACCAAGTAATTTTAGCACGGCTCCATGGATAATTATTCAAGATCTGTCTGATAAATCTTTTTCTTAGTTTACATAAGATTTAGAAATTCATCTTAGTTAACAAAGTGAACAAATGGATCAAAAATCCCTACCATCGTAGTATGTCTGATAATGTCAGAAATATATGATCAGAACGTCTCAAAAGTGAAATAGACATTGTCTCCGTAAAGCTTTGATATTATGGAGTCATAATTCTGAGGCCCCTTCCAACTTGCAACTGTTGCATAATAAAATAAAATAATGTATAAAATGTGACATAATCCGACCTAATTGGTTCGAACTACATTATGCTGTCATATCATCTTCATGACACGTGCTGTTTTGCAATACGTTTCCACTAAATCAAAGCTATCAAATCACTTTTTCCTCTCTCGATCTATTTTTAGATTCTTAAAGAAAAAGTACCATCCTTCGCGAAGCTATGCCAGTTCGGACTGTCTTCGACAATAGAGCTATTCATAATGTCATCCCTCGCTGATACAATGAAAATTGGGAACAAATTATTATGATCCCACTTTTAATTTCTTAAAATAATGTTTTTTAAATCCATGCAATTCTATATTTTCGATACACGTATGAAATGATTTATCGCTTTAAAAAATAAAACCCATTTAATCTCTCCACTAATATCAAGCATTTATCTATTTCATTGAAATCATTCTTTCCTGATTACCAGGAGATTAACATCTAACATTAACAAGTAAAAAATTTTCTCGAACGCAAAGAATCAAATTTACATTTAAAATGAAAGAAAACAAACAATAGCGCAAATATCTCTTTTCTTGAGTTTCTGCAATAAACCTAATGAACATGGAGAAGAAATTGATCCTAAAAATTAACGAGGCGCAAAATAATTTATATGTAATTAAAACCGTAAGTTTAAAAAAAATATCCCTATTTTTCTTTCAAATCACATAACACCTCATCAAATGGTATGTGTAAAATAAAAAACAATACAATACTGCTTCATTGATTATTTCAATCATCTTCGCTATCCTCTTCATCATAAAAACCCATTTCACCAATATGTTTTTCTAGATCTTCGTAATCATTAAATCCATCTGATGTCGTGTCTTCATCCGAACCACAACCAGAAGTATGCTGAAATGAGCATTTAATATTAAGAAACCATTATTGTTAAAATAACCTAAACTATAGAACACATTTAGAAATACAATATTGCACAATTTTACAAACGTAAACTACTTCAAAATACAATTGCTACAAACTTAGCGAAAACATTATCTGCTCTATGGACTGCCTTTCAATGTTATAAAGGATAGTATGAAAGTTTGCTATACTTACTATACTATGTTAATGATAGTAACAGCAAGTTGTATGCTAGGTAACTACTACACTAATTAACAAGTCTCCTATAGTGATCTCAAGAAATGCTCAAACTGCTCCTGCTGTTTAAGTG